TCAGTTATAACTTATTTAAAAATATTTCTAAAATTTATAGCATAATATTACCAAATAATGCATATTTTAATCCTTATAATGAAGGTTTTCTACATAAAAGTATTATATCAAGTCTGTAATATATTATAACAGTGAATAAGATATTAAGTCATAAACATATTATAACTGACAATTGAGAAACTTTCTTATATTTTACTGTAAATAAAACTTGAAAATGTTAGCACATCTTAAAAATTCTTTAAACTAGTTTTTTATCTTAGAAAACTTTGAAAGTATATTTTTTATAACATAAACAATACAATAAATTAAAAATTATATGTTGTTTTCATTTTGTTACAAATAAGAAGACATTGCACTTAATTTAAAAGACATTGTCTCTTTATTTAATATTGCCAATGCAATATAATTTTTACGCTGCTGACCAAGTAAACGAAGTTTCTTCAATAACAGAAACGATTTCTTCGACATTTTCATCCTCGAAAATTGTTTAAAGTTTTTGCAATATTGTGCAGTATAAAGTTCGCAGTGATACATGTAGCAATCATTTTTGGCTTAATTTTTATCTATAAAATTATCACACCACAGATACTGTTGAATCAACAGTAATTGTATAACAACAGGGATGCGCGATCCCAAAAAGGACTACGGATATGAAAGGCACAAAAAGATTATTTCTTCCTTGTTTTTGCTTTCCAGGAGCTCTAAAAATATTATTAAGTTTATGGACTACTAATAGGAAAAAAATAAAGACTTTTAGGTAAGAGGAACAATAATTTTTTGAACTTGGAGTCCTTGCGTATAATGACAGCAAAGACTCCGGGATTAAAAACAATAAGTTTCAAGTCATTAAATCTCGCGAATGTGTTACTTATAGCAAATCGTAAGTCAACAAACATGTTTAGAGCTTCTGGATACTACAGACTTGGAAAAAGTAGAGATATAAAGCAGGAGTCCTTTTGGGACCCCGCATCCCTGCTGTTGATTGAATCAAACACTTTTCAATTATTAAGCTCTTCAGCAAATTCTCCATAGGGTTTATCAATTCTTGCATGGGTGCAATCAATATTTCCAAAAAAATACATTATTTATAGTTATACTAGCCCGTTTATATCAAAAACGTGCTAGTATAATTATAAATAAATGCATAACGTAAAAATATATAGATATATATACATTATTAGTCAAAAAATAGTAAAATATATACGTAATATAACAAAATTAATGTCTGATTATCAAAATAAAAAATAAAAGCAACTATTTTAGGTGCTCGTAAAATTAGAAGCAATTGCTCGTTGTTTTTTGAGTTGTAGCTTTTTTATTCACGCGCTTTTCTCATATTTGAGCAATCGCTAAACATTTGAGCAAAAGCTCATGAGTAAAAGCTTTCTCAGAAAAAAGAGCAATTGCTCTAAATTTTTATTGACGTAAAGTTGAGCAATTACTCCAAAAACGCCGAGTAAAAGCAATTGTTCTTTTTTATTCACCCGGCTTGGCTATGTGGCAAATGTAGATAACCTATGTCAGTTTTGTATTATACACGTAATATAAAAATTTATTCAGAAGATTTTTTTTATGGCCTTCTATTGATAATTTGAATCTTGCTTGTAATTATATTTATATATATTTGCACTAAAGCATTTTTTTTATTTCTAAGTTGATTTTCTCTAAAGTTGAGCTTTTGTTGCTTTAAATTAAGTCAGCAAAAAAAGGTTGAGAATCAGGAAAATGTCTGGGAAATCCATCTTTAAATATTGGCAGACACCCTGTATTTTTAGACACCCTCATATTTACGTATTTTTAGACACCCTGATATTTACCTTATTTGCTTTAGTAAAACAATATCTAACATCCCCTGGAACACTGGGAGAAGAATATAAATAGTTGTTAGTTATTAAATATTATATTTATTTGAAGACTACTGGTCAAAATCCACAATAGTTTCTGTTTTTAATTTTAATAAAAATAGCATTTCTTGTTTGATGAGTTATATATGTTTATGATGAATTATATATGTTTGAGCTTTATATATGTTATGTATGACTGTTAGTTGGTTTCTGTACATAATCATATTCAAGCATCTCAGTTACTCATGATACTTTTTTTTGTAGTAAAGTTAAACACCAGTGCACGATGATAAGGATGGATATACTCAAATTAGTGCCACTGGGTGCACAAATATGTGAAACTGTTGTTTTTCCTGTCTTCAACAATGCAAAAAAGTCTCAATCTTTAGTGGTATTTGTTATATTGTTGTTATAGCGTTGTGTTATGTCTTGAATAATAACTTTTTTTATTTATTTTTTTAAATTGACTTTAAAATTGATAACAGTTAAATAAAAATAATAATAATTTTTCTTCTTTAAACTATAGATTCAGGAGGGTGTCGATCTATGCATCATTGTTGGTAACGAATAGTCAAAAAAGAATATTAATTTCGCACAAAATTTCTTGGAACAGAAAGTTTAAAATTTTATTAAGTCGATCCAAAAATATAAAAACAGAAAAAGTTACCCTAAATAATTTTATGTAAACACAACGCAATTGTAAAACGCTTTAGTGGTCAGACGCAACTGTAAAACGTTTTAGTAAACATGGTGTTGACACAGCTGTAAACAATATTAGTGAGATGGGACTTGATTTAAAACAGAAATAATTGAACAGTTGAACTGCGCAATTTTATATTGCATTGTTTTCTCACTTATTAAAAAATTGACTTTGGTTACTTGTGTTTTGATTTGAAAGCACTTGAAAAAAGTTTAGTTAAAAGTTTTTTTGAGTGTTATTATAGTTCGTCGGTAATTCTTTCTTATTTTAAGGTTTTAAAATACAATTTCCTCATTTAAAGTGTAAGTATGGAATAGTCGTGCATAAGTGACTTTTTGTATTATATATTATAAGTATTGTTTATACTATTAGCATGAGTTGTATTGCTAATTATGAACTTGTTTCGAGAAAAAATTAATTAAAGTACTTAATTGTTTTATTTGTTAGCGTTCTCTACGCAAAAAAATGTTTGGAATTTTTAGGATCGGAATAAATACAAAACAATCTTATAAGATCTTACAAATCTTAATAAGAATTCATACTATAACTTGCAAATTTTTCTAAGAAATTAAGATAAATCTTATTAAGATCTTATATATCTTACAAATCTTAATAAGAAACCACACGCAAACTTACAAATCTTAATAAGGTCTTACATTTCTTGTAAATCTTATTAGTAAATCGCACAAAAACTTTCAAATCTTAATAAGATGTAAGTAGTTTTCTTGCATGTCTTGCAAGTCTTACTAATCTTATTAAGAATCTTATTAGGAAATCTTATTAAGATTTGTAAGATTCGTCCTCTGGGTTAGAAGTCGTAATTTGTGTCACAACACTCCGAAAGTAAACAATCTTTAGCTCTGATACATGGTATATATATATATATATATATATATATATATATATATATATATATATATATATATATATATATATATATATATATATATATATATATATATATATATATATATATATATATATATATATATATATATTCCTCAAGCTGAACTAGCCTCATTCCATAAGCCAGACCACATAGATGCTGTTCAAACGATCATTGAAGCCAGAGCTAATCACCAAAATCAAGTTTCTTCTGTACGTCTTTTGCGGGTGCCTGAATATATTTTAAATCATCAAAGTGGCAGCTATTGATTAAGTGGAGTGAAACTGACATACTAAAACCTACTTTGATTAGGAACATATAAAATAGCGAATTGTTGGTCCTGGTAGCAGAACCTCTCATTGTACCAAAATTTAAATGTCACACCCAAATGGTTGAACGAGTTGTGAAAGAGGTTACAAAGGCCAGTCAGAAGGTAGTAGGTACGAAGCGATGGGATTCAGCAATAAAATCATCAATGGTGAATCGCGCCAAACATCCAAAGCAGGAATCAAAGAAGGATTTTATCCCAAAATAGCCATATTTTTCCTTAATAATTTTTTTTTTTTTATTTTACTATAGACTATGTTGCATAACTTTTAATTCTGCATCTTTTATTGTTCTTTAAAAACATTGAAATTCCTGCCTAATATTGTTCAATTTGTAATAAAGTGAAAAATATTGCAGTTTTTTGGGCCATTTTCCTGTTGCGCAAAGTCAGAAATTTCAAATCAATGGAGGAGGGTCAAGATATGAACCGATTTTGATGAAATTTGGAATATAGCTATGTGTACTTCATTGAAGTAAATAACAACTTTGGAGATTATTATTTTTTTTTTGTGGAAAGGAGGGGGGGCCGAAGGATTATTGTTAAAATGAGAAGTTAATTTTACTGTTTGTCATTTTGGGGTCTTTTTGCTGCAGTTCTTGTTTATTTAACTCAATGAACTCATCGTACAACATCGTTTTATCTAAGTTTTTTGCAAAAGTTACTTTTTTTTAACGGCAACATCGTTTAATTTATTTGATATAAAAATTTTTACAAGGTAACAATTAAAATGCAATCACCTTTGAACTTTAATTTTAATGTCGCTATGTTTACCCCATACCTTATTATTCAATTCGTAATGTTCAGTAATTTAAATAATATAGATTTCGATTCATGGCAAATTTTGGTAGAATGTAACAAAAAATTTAAAATAAGATCATTAATGCTATAGAAATTTAAAGTTGAAGTGTACATTTGAATTTTTTTGCAAAATGATATTAAAAAAGCTTTACATAAAATGCTCTTTATCTAGTTTATTTTAAATGCAAGAATAAATCATAAAATGAAAATATTTGCTCTTTAAATTACCAAGTTAAAAATTAGAGTTGAGGTAAAAGCTATTTTTTTATAAACAGAGATTATTTTAACGGAATTAAGCAACATGCGACTGGCCCACTATTATAAGTTAATCAAAAAAAAGTAAAAAAGAACAAATTAACAACATTTAAAACTTTTATTCGATTAAAAAATCGTCAAAAATTACATAACGATAAAAAATAAGAACAATTCTAAAATACTTAAAACTAAAGTAAGATATATGACGTTACTATATCAGTTTTTGTTATACAATTAAATCTCTATTAATTAATATGTTAGTAATTAATGAGTCAAGTTTTAATTTAATATCAATTAAATCAAAAATAAATTCAGTATAAGCAAAAATACGTAAAGAGCAGTATATATCAATATACTGTAACAAACAGTATGTATAAACACTATATATATAAACAATATACATCAATATTATATCAGCAGTAGTTAGCTTCGTCTGAAGAAAAGTCATGATTTTATTTTAGTGTTTAATAAATCCAAGCTTTAGCTATCAAGAGTATTGCCGTGAAAACCAAACACAGTCAGTTGCATATTTGATCATAGTTTAATCAAAACGCGAATATTCATCAAAGTCTTTATAAATGTCAAACTTAAATAAATGAGTGTAAATTTTTTTTCTGTTTACAAAACTATTGACAGCAACAACAAAAACAGCATTTACTTTTATCTGATTCATTTGAACAATTTAATTGAGATGTATTAGTTGATGTACAAGGAGCGTTTGACTCATTAACTACGTTATCCAATCTGAGAGTTTCTATTTGAACTACGTCTTTTAGACACTGCTCAAAAATCGGTTTTAAATTGTTTGATTGCAGGGAGTAAACGTTATTTTCCCCATAAATTTCCCCGTTTGAAATAAGTTTAGAAATGATTCTTACAGCGTCTCTATGGCCTAGCTTGTGCATGTCTTCTGAATATTCTTCACCGTATATTTTTCCATCAATTTTATCATTAACTTTTTTACATAACTTAATAAACTCATCGTACCACGCCATTGCGTCTTTTTGTGACTTTTTTGCTAAAATTAAATTTTGGTTTTCATAAACTATGCCAACAATAATATCCATTACCATATTATCAAACTGAGTTTGATTAAAAGCAAGTTTTGTTATATTTTTTGCAGCATTTATCATTTCAGCCTCGAAACTCGGCCTTATCAAATCATCGGATTGAGATTTTGCTGCAAGTTCAGATATTAAAGAAGCAATTAATGAATCTAATTTAGTATTTAGACTGTTTGTTTTTAAGTCTACTAATCTTTTTTTCACTAAAATGGCTGAGTGATAACTGTAGCTGAAAGTTTTTTGAAACCCAGAATAGTAGCAGTACAAATGATAATTTTTTTTAATGTCTGCTAGTCTCTTTTTTGTTATATTAAAAACATTCATTTCATATTTAATACTATCTGAATATTCTTTGCTATTTGCAATACTTTTATCGTTTAATATATCTCTATAAAGTTTATTTTGTCTTGTTAATAAAAAAGAGTCAATTATATAAATACCTTGAATGTTTAACGAATTATATGAACCGTACATTTTTTTGAAACCATTAATTTTAGAGTCGTTTAATTTATAAAGCTTTTCTAAAAGATCTGTAAGAGGTTTAGCGTTATCTACAGTAATATTTTGAAATCCTTTAGTTTTAGGTGAGTAAGCTAACGTTATGGATTCAGTGAAAATGCGTTCTGTGTATCCTTCGTTATTGTGTTTTAAGCGAGTCTCAAGTGCTTTCTGACAACAAGCAATGGCATTTTGATAACAATTTAAATCTTTCTCTGGCTTCAGAGAACTGTAAGTATACGCCATTAGATAATGAATTTTTGTTTCAACAACAAACGAAATATCAGTTGCATGTAATGCTTTTCTGCAATATTCTAAAACTTTAGCATGATCTAGGTTTTCTTTTCTGTCATTCATCCAAGAAAACCGTTTGCAAGCATATATTTTAGCTTGTATATAAAGTAGATAACATTTGTTTTTTATATAGTCTTCTTTCATATTATATATTTTTACTGATTGTTTTTTATCAGCCATAAGTGAAATAAACTCATAATTTGATGGGTTAGATAATAATGCGTATAAATGAAATAAACAGTCTGTAAATTCACTAGCGCATAAGTTTTCATCGTTTGTTTCAAAATAAATGTCAATAGCTTTATTGTAATACTCTACTGATGTATTATAATTTTGTTTTGTTTTCTCGTGGTAATAATGTAATATCATTGCAACTTGTATATATGAACTAATTAGAGTATCTACGCAACTAGGATGTTCAATTGCACTTTTAAAATAGTAAATTGCATTTTCGAAATCTTTATCTTGTAAACAATTTTTTCCTTTTACATATAAGTTTAGAGAAACATACTGATTGAAATACTGATCATACTTTGAACTATCTCTCACGGTGACGTCATACCCATAATTTGTTGGTTTATCTAGTTTTTGAACTAATTTATTTAAAATGTTCTCTAAACTATAACCAAACTGATCACGTAAACATATATTATATTCTAAACATTTTTCGTATGCATCAATTGCTATTTTATATTTTTCTGGAGTTTTGTTTTTGTAACTATTTCCTTGAAATTTTGAATTGAAGTTAAAAGTGTAAGTATCTCCTATAACTTCATATGAGCTCCTTAACATTTTCAAAAAGTCTTCGTCTTTTTTGTAGTTTGGTTGGCATGTAATTAGATCTATTACACTCTTTATAATCTTTACTCCCATATCTATTATTTTATCATTAGCATCAAAACTTAAGATCGTGTCGATTGCTGTTTTTAGTAAACTCTCGATTGCAAAATGCAAATCCGACACACGTCGGGTTTTTGGTTGCATACTAATTGCATTGTCTTTTTCTAGTTTACCACATGTATTGTCTTTTACTAACTTTCCATTTTCTAAATTTTTATTTTAATATACAAAAAAATCAACTGTAGTTCAAAATAAATAAAGTTATTGAAACCTTTTTAAATTAAAGTAAATAAATTCTTAAATTTTTATAAAAAATGTAAATGGATGGCAGTGCCGGATTTAATAAAAAGCTATTAGGGCTAAAGCCGTGACTTGCATGTAAGGAGGGCCTGCATATAACAAGGTTTACGCCTATGTTTATAATTAAATTATGTTAAGTCTAAATAAAAATGGACTTTCTTAACTATATATGTCAGCAGCTCAACACTGGTTGTTGAATGGCAATCTATCATCAAAATTTTTCTAAGAGTTTTTAAAGAACTTGTGCTAATTGTATGCTAAAGATTTTCTTGAATCAAGAAAAAGATATCATCTAGTATTCATTATATTTATGGATAATCATGAAAATACATCGCAAAGTATGTTTGAGAACCTTTTGGAAATACCAATTTCACAAAAAATCCATATTAAAGATTGTCGAGAGTAGAATAAAGACAATGCCTCATTAATGAGTGGAAGTTATAATGGTGAGCAGGCAAAAGTTAAAAAACGAATATTCTAGTAATTTAGATACTTTGTGTTGAACATTCTTTAAATATGTGGCTAGTGGTTGCATCTAAGAGTTTTTTGATTACGTGAGTTTTTTTTAACTTTATTGAAGAACTGTTTATTTCACCAGTTACACGCACTGCTGTGAAATGTTGTGCAATATTTTAAAAATAGTAACTGTGAATTTCAACTTTAAAAATATAGTTCAACGCCCTAAATTTATAAATTGTATACCAATAAGGCTCTTGCAAATGGCTTTTTACAAATTGTAGATATGCTGCACAAACTTGTGAAGGATAAAGTTTATATAGCTAAAGTACGCTGCAAAGCTAAGAATATTTATGTTCGCACGATGCTTTTAGAAACTGGAAAAGATGCAATATTCTTTCATGAGATCCTAGAAGCGAGTAAAAGTAATAAAACAGATTAAAATCCAAAATTACACTTGAGGAGCATATTGAGCAGGATACAATCAATGGAGAAGTTTATTTTGCAATAGAGTAAATTATTTGAACAAAAAGAACAAAAAGGAGCAGAGAAAGCTCGCACAAAGAATTATTTGATAACTCGTTCAAGAACTTAAAATGTAGAAGTAACTCCTATGGATTGTTTAAATGTATTTTCCGCTTACAAGTCAGGTTCCTGGAAGCTTTTTGTTGAGAGCCTCATTCTATCACTGCTTTTAACGCTGGAATACGTGAAAATCGATTCTGAGAGTGCCACTTCAGCCAGAAACAAGATTTTTTCACTTTAAAAGAACGGCTTAGATTTACTTTTAATTGGAAATGAGTTAGTGCAATTCAAAGAGTTTGTGGGGTTTTTCTTGATGAAGAGGGAATAAACATGAGCATGGAAAGTTTTATGTATTTACTTATACACCAAAAGTGTGTGCAGTTCCTTAATGTTGATATTAAGCTCCACATTTATAATTTTCTAGTACAATAAAAATGACACTATTTAAATATGACATATTGAAGCAATACCTAGAGAAAAAAAGTTCTTGAAAGATTCTAGGCAGGAAAAAGAAAGAAGAAAAAAATTTCTAGAAAAAAAAAACGAAACCATTTCTAGTTGTGAAAAACTTATGTCATTATTCAAATTACTAATTATCCTAAAATGCAAAGGGCCTTATACTAAATTTTACCACTCGTGCATATTTTAAAACATTATTCAGGCTCAGAATAGGAAGAAATGTGAGCAATTTTATTCGCTGATTTTGAAAGAGAGGTATGAGCTTATTTGTTCAAAAAGTATAGTTAAAATTAAAAAAAGCGGAAAAATAAATATCAAAGTAATGATATACTACAGTTGCTACAGTTAAGCCGTTTAAAATAACTTTATTTTTTTGCTTGTTTCACTCTTGTCATTGGAAAAATATATTTAAATTTAGTTAATATAGTTAACTGTAGCTTTACCAAACTAAGTCTATCACTAGTATTTTAAATCAATTGTATTCTAGACTTGTATTGACAATACAAGTCGTGCGCTCCCATAAATACAGAAAACTCATTTTATTTTATCTAAATATATTTGTTCAAGAATATTTCCACTTGTAAAAATCTCAAAATTTTGATAAAGTTTATCTTAGTAATAGGGATTTAATCTTTTGGTAATTTAAAGAAATGAAAAAAAAGTATGTGTTAAGGTAAATTCAAAAAAATCTATAAACATTTGTATTATATAATGCCATTGGTCTTGAAGCATACTTAAGATAAAGTTTATATGCATTTGTACCAGATAAAGTTTATATGCATTTGTACTTAAGGTAAAGTATATATTCATTTGTACTAGTGGTGAAGTAATTTATGCATACAAAATTTATATGCAGTAGTAGCAGGCAACTGGTGAATAGTTTTATTTATACTAGTTAATTAAAGAGTTAAACATTAAAGATTTTTTAAAATAAAAATTTGTACTGATTGCAAAACTAGCTTACATATATCTAATGAATTTATAAACTCTGAGGAGATTTTGTTATCATATTATATTTCTTAAAAAATGTTTAACTTTTATAAAAAAGATATGAAAATCAGATATTAATACTTTATTTGAAAATTTAACAGAAGAAGTAAAGTTTATGTTTATTTACTAAATAGTACTTTTTATTTATAATAATACATATAAACAATGACATTACTAGCAAGAAAAAATATTGAAGTCGCACTTTTTTTTATTTGAATAATTGAAAAAAAAAACAATTCTAAAAATCAAATGAAGTGGTAAAAATTAAACAAACTAATGGAAAAAAAGAAATGAATAAAAGAAATTAAAACTTAGAAAAAAGAACAAAAGAAGAACAAGAATATTTTAACCTAAAATGTTTTAGTTAGTAACCTTGATGAACTAGTTAATTGTAAAAAGGCATAACAATAATTTATTGTAGTAAATTAATTAAGAGATATCGTTTGAATTTCAAAAACTACTTGATCACAAAATCATTATGCATTAATGTTTTTATTTTTTTTATTTTTTCAGTGCTAAAAAATTTGCGCATTTAAATTTTTTTCTTCCTTGTTACAGTTAGTTCTCCATTGATTTGTGGTAAGCTGTGAGTTATTTTATTAGGTAATTAATTTACTTTATCAAAACAAATCTGTGGCAAATAAAAAACTTAATTAAATGAAGCTGAATTATGGAATTTATTGTAATAAAAAGAACTTTATTTAAACAAAATTTTACATGAAAACTATAAATTTTAAAATTTATCAAATTATAAATTAAAAATATAAAATTATAAATATAAAATTTATGAAAGTTTGTTGATTCATTTAACAATAATTACCATCAGTTGGTATTAATACAAATTTTCACCTAATATGAAATACAATAACTAATAAATTTTTCACGTTAACAGCTATATACCAACAAACATATGTTTTATACGTATTGACTTTGAAATTAAAATAAACAACAAAATGAATTTGCATGTTTGCAATTTTTCTTGTTTCTACCTCTTTACCCTTACTTCTTCATAAAGGTGTAAAACGTTAAGAGTAATTTTTTTTGGTATTAATTTACTATATCAAAACAAATCTATGGTCATCAGGTGATAGATTTTTGTTATAGTTTATTATTCTACAATATTTTTTAATTTTTTATTACAATACAATACCGAGGGAAATTCAAATCACCCATTGCTTACTATTGCTTTTAATTCAAGATTGTTGCAAACTACCTGGGCTAGCTATAATAAATAATAAAGAATGTTTTTAAACTTAAAAAGTTTTAGTAATGTATAAGTGGCTTCACTTTAAAAAGATCTTTACAAATTATGCGTAAGACACCTCATCTATCTTAATGCAATTCAACATAACTTATATTCAAACTAATTCTCTTCAAACAAATATGTCTTTATATTATATACAAATACTTAAAATACTTATAGAATTATGTAATATTTATAGAATTATCTAGAAATAATGCAAATGGATTTTTAGCTTTAAAACAATCATTAACTATATTTACATGAAAAATCTAATGTTTTATAATTTTTTAACTTAAATGTCTTTTTTATGTCTTGGATTTATAAAAACCTTTATGAAAACAAACTTCTTTTCTTTTTTATTTTTATAAAGTTATTTTAAAAATCACAGATGTTTTGAATTATGAACTTTTTTAAAAGAATAAGTACTAAAATGCATAACTTTTTTGTTATTAACTATTTGATTTTTTTATGCGGTTTATTACCATTTTTATTTTACAATGCATTTTTTGACATTTGTTTTGATTTTAGCATACACGCTCATATCTATCTTTTAAAATCAGCAAATCAGATTGTATGTTTTTCTGTTTATTCTGAGCCTCAATAGGGTTTCAAAATATGCAGCCCGGGTACTAGTAAAAAGTAAATCCAGATCTGTTGGATAGTAAAGACAATTTAAAAAGGTTTATTCTGTATCCTTGAGTCAAGTTGTTTTTAAAGTTTTGACTAAGGCTTAGTATTAAAAAAAAAAAAAAATTATAAATATATTATTTTGTAAATTACCCATAAAAAAACATCGGAATATTTTCATTCTGTAAATCACTATTGAGTGAAAAAGCATTTTATCTAAAGTACATGATAACAACCTTTTTATTTTTTTTTAAACACCTACACTTATTTTATTATATTCACTTCCAACAAGGCTACAAACAAACACTATTAGAGTTAGAAGTTACTTAAAGAGAAAAGACGAAATTTATAAAGTAAAATTACGACTAACAGGCGACTTAAAAAATAGCAGGGTTTATGAATAAAAAAGTAAAGAGCGAATTATAAAGAAGTGAGGAGCGAATTCCAAAAAACTAATGTCACTTAGGAAAACCCACAGTAAAGTAATGAGACTTAGTGAAATGACGAATAACACGAGAAAGAGTTTTAGAAAATGGCACAAGAAACTCTTCAGAAAAGTGCCCATTGTATTATTTTTAAAAAACAGAAAGAAAAACAACATTACGACAATGTTACATAAGTTAAAGGTTGGCTGCAAGTGCTTGTCCAAATATGTTTACAACGCGTTTTTGTACTTTGTTAAAAAGATTTTTTTTTTCTTTTTAACAAAGTGTATCGAATATCCTCTCTAGATTCGGAAACAGTATCATACAAGAACGGATTTAAGGTTTATAGAGATAAATAATAAAATTTGGAGCAATAAAGTAGCGACAAAGGTTCTATAAACCTTAGCAGATGCTAATTTTTCAATAAGTATGATTTGTAATTTTTGACGAAGATTGGAAGTGAAAATTATTTATAAAAGGCGAATTAATTCAGTTCATTATAGTTTGTAAATATAGAAAGGTTTAGATTGTTGCAATAACAATAAGCCGAAAAAAATTCAGTTTGATTTGAGTTAAAGTTTACCAGCCACTTAAAGCCTCATGTTGTAACGGAAGTGAGATCCTTTTCACAGGGCCGTTGACACAATTCTGTGACGTTGGTCTTTTTGAGGTGAAAAAGAACAGTTGTATATATTTTTTAAAAATTCATATATAACTAGAATATCCTCAAAAAAAAAGGTTCTTTAAAAAAAAAAAAAAGGGGACAGGTGCCTTACAGTCTCACCCCTCCCCCCCCCCAAATCTACCCTGGTGTCTCCGGCTCCATTTCAAGCTAAAATAAAAAAATGCCCGTTCCGAGCATTTAAAGAGTCATGGCTTCTTATTAAGACAGGAATAAATGGTATTACCATCAACAAACAATGCCATCTTACATGTGAGAGTTTTAAGAAGATTATTAATGTAAATTAAAAAAAATATAAGAACAAGGATAGAGTCTTAAGGAACTTCTGCTGATACAGGAAATGAAGAAGAGTGTTACTCATTGAGGACAACCTTTTTACTACGACTGATAAGGAAGTATTTAATAATCTTAAAGATGTTACCTGATACACCGTAAAAAGAAAGCATATGGTGAAGACCAGCATGCTAAACTTTAAAACTCAAAAGCTTTAGAAATTTCAAGAGTGATAACCTAATCTAATGCACAATAGCCACATCTATCTAATAGCCACATCTATCTAATGCACATTAAACCTATCAATTATTACCGTTAACAAATCAGAAGCAGAACGAAGAGATTAAAATCCATATTGATGATTAGAAAGAAAGTTATTAGATGCAAGATAATACATTTAGCGTTTACTAATAAAAGACTCAAAGACCTTGCTTATGATAGGAAAAAGACTAATGGGACGAAAATTAAACGAGACAGATTGCTCTACAGAATTTTTAAAAACAGGGATAACAAATTTCCAGTAGACTGGAAAACAAGACTCTGATAAGCATTTGTTAATAGTTTTGAAGCAAACTATTCAGCTTTTGTTTGGTGATATAACAAAATCTAAACCATGCAATAGAGGCAAATTCTCCAGAGCCTAATTTTTGAGATGAAATACGAGATTTTGATACCTGTGAATAGTAAACAGACGTCTGTTTTCTAAGGAATTGTTTGGATATGGAAGTAATGGTTACAATCGGAATTTGCAGCAGCACATTAAGATTAAAACCATAAAGGAGAGTGAGGTTTGACTTGGGAATAAAAAATTCCATACCAGCCAAAATCCAAAAAGTTTCATAAGATGCACATTTGTCAGCAAGTGGACGAAAGATTTCTACCCAAGGGCTAAACAAAGAAAATCACGGAAAGAATCCTAGTCAGCTTGAAGGTAACAATAAGAGGTACGACTATAGGGGGTTTCTAGAATAGTGAAATGAACACAAAAACAGTATTTTATTCTTTTTTTTTTGTTGTTGAAACACTTTTTTTTCAGTTTTATTTCAGTGGAGAAAATTTCAACAACAACTATTAAATAACTCCTTTAAAACACGAATGATCCTTTGAACATTTTTTAACAATTAAAATACTTAGTAAACACGATGTTGAAAACTGTAGAATGTTGAGTATACATTTTCAAAAATATTTGAAAATATTTATTTTTATCAAAAATATTTATAATTTATCAAAAATGTTTATATTTCATCAAAACTATTCATATTTTATCAAAAACATAAGTATTTTATCAAAAAGATTTATATTTTATGAAAAATATTTATATTTTATCAAAAATATTTCTATTTTATCAAAAATATTTATATTTTATCAAAAATATTTATATTTTATCAAAAATATTTATATTTTATCAAAAATATTTATATTTTATGAAAAATATTTATATTTTATCAAAAATATTTATATTTTATGAAAAATATTTATATTTTATGAAAAATATTTATATTTTATCAAAAATATTTATATTTTATCAAAAATATTTATACTTTATCAAAAATATTTATAATATATCAAAAATATTTACATTTTATCAAAAATATTTATAGTTTATCAAATATATTTATATTTTATTCAAAATATTTATATTTTATCAAAAACATTTATATTTTATCAAAAACATTTATATTTTAGCAAAAACATTTATATTATAACAAAAGCATGCAAATAATTGTACAAGTATAAGAAACTGCAATACAAGAACAAGATAAAATAAACAACAGATTTTGTAGAAGTTTTTTTTTAGTTAATACTTCTACAGTACCAATAGGATGAAACATTTATTTATGTAAGATTAGGATAAAACATTTGGTTTTGTAAGATAGAGATGAAACATTTTGTTATTCAATAAATAAGTTTGTGAAAAGAAATAAAAATTGGTGAAACCGAATAAATTAAATGTAGTTTTGCAAAGCCATCAACATTTCTTTATAAGTTGTCAGAGAATATTTTGTGATTAATTTTTTTTTTTTTTTGGATTATGGAAATACTGTATATTAGTTAGTTATAAATAATATAAAGTTAAAAAATATATACAATTTTTTTTTTTTAGTTTTAAATTCATAATTAGTTTTAAACTGATTGTAAGAAAAAAATGAAAATATTTATAAATGAATTTACTTGTAAACGAATCAATTTCTTTTACCAAATCAATCTTTTTCTCACTCAATAGGGAATTACGGATGTCGTCAAAAGTAATTCTTTTGTTTAAAAATTTTGTAAACATTTCATAAGCTTTTATTCGAATATTTTCGTTGTTATAATCTATTATTTCAAGATCGGTATCGCTTATTGACAAACGGCGTCCAAGGATTTTCCAGTCTTGACCAATTATTTTAGATAGTTCATTTAGAAACAACGGATTATTCCCAAAATTACGAAACATCTTGTCTGTAAACTTTGCGCAATTATTTCACTAAAATAAAGCATAAATAATAAAAAAAGTTGCAAAAAAATTATATTTTCTTGTTATTTGCTTTCATAATTTTATGCATATATGCAACTCTATAATACGAAGTGATTTAATTTTTTCATTCTATAAAAACCTGTTGTTTGAATTAAGAGCTGTACGTTGTGTAAAAAATAATAAATCTCACATTTTTGAATTTAATATGAGTTAGACTGCATAAGTCTAAGGTAAGCAAGAGTTATAGTAATAGTTTTATCTTTTAGTTATTTATTTTAATTGTTTTTAAAACAATTAAAAAATTTAATTAGAAAAGAAAAAAATTTACTTAAGAAGCATAAGTATTATTCTACAATATTAAAGAACAGACTGATGTAGGACAAATGATAAAATATCTATTAGTTAACCATATTTTAAGTATGTAGTATTTTTAATCTTGCTAATAGAAACATGTTCTATCGCTTTTGCTTTCAAATTTTTTAGTTTGCTGTAATTAACTATATCTCAGAATGATTTTATTTGTTAAATTGTTAGCTGTACCACTTTTAATGCAGATTTTCTGTTATAAATCTTTATTAAAACGTTTCTTATAAACTAAAAAATTATAATAAAAGTATAAAAGCATAACTAAATGGAGTTCTTGGCATAAGTTTAAAGGAAAATTAAACCGGCGTATAATACAAGTTATATATTTTATGTCATTAAACATTACGTGGCATAAAATATTACTTTATAAACTAATTCTTTTCTATAAGGATGAGCAGCATTGCTTATCACACTTGATACATTTTAAACTGTTCATTTATTCATTTTTTACTTGAAAACAAAATTCAAAATAACGCATTGACACAGTTGAAAAATATGAGTTGTTAGTTTCATGTTATGAAAGTCCTGATGCAAGAGCTTTTTTCTTAAGTTTTATAAACAACTGAACAGTTAAAATTTATTTTGTAATTACTAATGTGATTGTTTAAAAGTCGGTATTCATCTTTGCAATAATCAAAAGGCTAATTAAATAAACATTTTTTTGTTTATTTTAGATGCGTTTTAGCTTATTTTAGTTACATTTGCTAAATGTAACTAAAATAAGCTAAAATAAATTTTCAAAACTAAATAGCACTTATTACTTATATAAAGTTAAAAATTAAAACGTTATTTTAATTTAAATAAGTTTTAAAACTTAAAAAAATTGAAATTACGTAAACTAAATCAAAGAAACTATTTGACAAGACCTTAAAGTTTAATACAAGTTTTCTTAAATTAAATCTAAATCTCTAAATCTAAATCTATGTTAACTAGACTACATTTAAACGTAAACTAGACAAAATCTAAACACTTAATACACGTATAATAATCCTATAACAGACGTCTAAAATAAATTGTACCTCTTGTAAGTCTTGTTTCCAGAGTTAACTCTGGAAACAAGTTGGGTCTCATAACTACTTTTGAGACTCAACTTTGTCAACCTTTCAGTATAACTTAGATGTTTTAGTTTAGGCGTTAGCTTTGTTGCTTGTCTTTGAACTTTTTCTCAGTCATTGATATTGTTTTTATTACTTGGATTCTACAATGGAGCTGCAAATTCCAGATCTGGTCTCATCAGCGATGTGTATAATTGCCTCATCATTTCAGTGTTAAGATAAGTAAAACTTTTTCTTATTAAACATAAGATTCTTTATCCTTTATTTGTAGCTACTTGAACCTGATGATTCCATTTCATATTGGATGAAACTATTACACCTAAGTCTAGTTCTTTTGTTGTTGTTTTTAGAAGAAAAATTTGATTTTTTTGCTTCATTGTGTAGTTGTAGTTAATATTTTTTCTTCCAATGTCCATAACACTGCATTTACTTATGTTAAAGTCCATTAACCATTAACATTATTTGATATAATTTTAGTATCATAAGCGTATAAATTTGCAATTGAATAGACACATTAGGGAAGATCATCGATATATAACAGAAAAAGGAGAGTACCTTATACAGAGCCCTGTGGCACATCACTATAAACCTCACACCAATCTTATACAACTTCATCAATTACCACTCTTTGTTTTTTGTTTTTTTAAATAGAATCAATCCAATTTATAAGATTGCCTTTGTTCCAAGTTAGAAATTTTATGCGTAAGTCGATAGTGGGGCACCTTATCGAACGCCTTTGCAAAATCTAGGAAAAATATATCAACTGCTTAACCATTTTCAACTTTAGTTGTAATAATATCGAAAGTTTCTAATAAGTTTGTTAGGTACCCTTTGTTTTGTACAAATCCCTTGTTGAGACTTTAACAGATTGTTTTCCGTTATAAAAATTATCAGCTTTTTTCTAACTATTTTCTCTATTATCTTACTTGTTATTGATGTTAAGGAGATTGTTCTGTAGTTCAGTTGGTCCTTTTTGTCTTCTTTTTTAAAAAGTAGTGTAAAGTTTGCAGATTTCCATAATTCTAGCAATTCTCCTGAAAGAATCAATTTCTTGAATATTAAAGACAAAGGTTTATACAATCCTTCTGCACAACGCTTTAGGACATAGGGACCGATGTTATTGCAACCATGTGACTTGTTTTCATTAAGTTATAATAAATGATTAAGTGAAACACCTTCTTTTAGCTCTCGGTCTCAGTAATATTCAAATAACTGACTTGTTTTATTGCTGAAATGTGGTAGATCTTATTTTTCTCTGATAAATACTGATTGGAAACTACAATTCAATAGATAAGCAATGATTTTTTTATTGGTTATTATTTTATTACCTAGTTTTAAGTGCTAGTAGTTTTGCATGTGTTTGATTTTTTCTTTGTGCATATGCATAGAAGCGTTTTGGGTTATGTTTTACATCTTTTGCTAAGTTTATTTAATAATCAAGAGTAGATTTTTTAATTTGTATTTTATTCGTTTAATTGATTAGTTTGTATTCATTATTTAGGCTTGTATTCTTGAAGTTTGTAGTACGCACTTTGCACCATAAACTACTTTTTTCTATAATTAGAATCTGGATTTTTTTATTAATGCATGGATTTTAGGTAAAACTAATGGGTTTAAAGTGGTAAGGAATATATTGTTTGCAAGTTTTTTTCATAAATTTTTAAAAAGTAGTTATAACATTGATTTATACTCTTTTTATCAAAGATTTTAACCCAATTTTCTTTATAAAGCTCATGTTTTTTAAAGTAGATTCATTTCTTGGTACTTTTTTTTTTGAAAATTAAATCTCTATTTGTTGAACTTTTTTTCATATGAATTTAGTATGTTAGTTTCCCATTTTAATATGTAATGGCTTTCAGTAATTTGACCAAGTGGAGCATCATAATTAATGTTGATTACTAAATCTAGATTGTCACATATTATTAAATCTAATATATTTTTTGGTTTATCAACAGCCATTTTAAAAGTTGGTTTGCTAAATATTTGATAAAATTATTGGTTTTCAAATTAATAATAAATGCTTTGCTTGTTTGGCAGTTTTATTTTAGCTCGATAGTTCCGTCTTCACTCCAAATAATATTTGGGTAATTAAAATCACCAACAATTATTACATTTGAGTATTTTTTATTCTATACTTCCTTTTTTTAGTTTTTATTAACTCCTAATTGCATTATTTATTAGATCAGTACTGTTTGGTGGTCTGTATTTACATCCAACTAATATTTTTGTTTTATGAAGTAAAATGCTACACCCTATTTGTTCAACTTTTTTTATATAAAGGTGAAACTGATACTTCAAAAGCAATTATATCATATTTTGTAAAAATTACAATACTTTGTTTATTTGTTCTATTATTGTAAAGATAGTATTAGTTGTTAATATTAAGAACTGTATCATTTTTGACCCATGTTTCAAAAATAAGTATAATATCTGGTAAATCGGTCATAATTTTTGTTTTAAACTCTGTTATTTTATTTACTAAAGATGTAGAAAAATGCCAAAACTTAATTATATTTTTTATTGAATGGGAAAATACTATCAGATTTGTTTTTATTTATACCAGATAATGAATTAATTTTTCTTGACTTTGACAATTGACTCATTTTTTCCAAGATACCGAAAGGGCTGGTCATTATCAGCATTATTTTAACAATCTCTTTCTTTTTTTCACGTTGAGCTAATGTTAAATCCCGATTTAAATATACTTTATTTTTTTATTCGACATAAATTTCAAATGGCTCGCTCACTTTAAAATGTCTGCAACTTTTTCTTTACTATTTAATTCTACTATTGCAATATCAAGTTTATCGCTGTTCGATTTTAGGCGGTGTTGCCGTTTAATTAATGAGTTATGGATCTTTTAATAAATATAGATCTTTTTTATTTGCTCATTTTCATGTTGTATATTTTCTTCAATTGATTTATTTAATTCATTAATACCTTATAGAACCAAATTGTATTCTCTTCTAGATTTTTCTTCATTTTCAGCTGAAACCGCGTTTGATATTCTTTTTTTTTTCTAGTTCAAAAGATTTGTTATGAAATAAGCTACTAAAAAGTGGTTTGAGCTTGATTCTTCTCTAAGCTGATATTTAACCGTTCCTTTAATGCAATGACATCGCAAATGGGAAAAGCATTTAAGTAACGGTGAAAAGGAAAAAAAAGAGTAAACGAAAAATGAAGGAAATTTTCAAATAATAAAAAAGATTACTTAGAAACAGTGTAAAAAAAGAAAATAATTGAAGGGTATAAACAAAATAAAAGATTGAAGAAAAATTAAAACAAGAAAATGAATAAAATGAAAGAAAAAAAAAACAGATTTAATCAAACAAAAACAAAACAAAACAAAAATTAATTAACAGCAAAAAAGTACCAATTTAAAAGAAAAAAGTTCGAAAAATGTTCGAAATAATAATTAAAAGAACTAATTAAAACGTAAAAAATCGCAACCAATTTTTCTACACATAATTTTTTGTGGCAAATATTTGTTATATTATTATTTTTTGTTATTATATTAATTATTAATTAATCTTACAATATTAACATTTATTATTTTTATTAAATATTATATTTGTTAAATATTATCATTTTGTGAATGCATTTTGTTTTGTAGTTTTTGTGTTTCTCTTTTTGTTTGCGTAAAGTTTGTTATTATTTGTGCTAATTATTTTTATTGTTGATTCCTGTTTTTCTATTTTACCAAATTTTCTACAGCTTTTTTTTTTTTTTCTATTACGTAAAAAATAAGTAAAGTTTGTCCTTATTTTTTAATTTAATTTTACTTTGTAGAAGTATTTGTATTTGCCCTTTCGTTTGTGTAAAGCTTGTTTTTTATTTGTTCAGTTTTGCTAATTATTTTTACTTTTGGTTGCTGTTGTTATTGAGTGTTTTCATATTTTTTGGCTTATTATTTAACTTGTTTTAGCTTTATTGTTGTTATTATTATTTTATTTATTTTCTTAGTGATCGTCGGTTCATATTGTTATTTTATTATTATTTTGTTATTATACTAATAGTTATAATAAACTGGTGTCACTCATTTTGATCATGAGTGACACTCTTTGAAATTTCGAAATTATATATAAGAGTTACACTCTTTATATATATAAGAGTGACACTCTTTGAAATTTCGAATTGAAATTGCTTCAAAAGAGCTCTTTCAACACTGATTTTTACACGAGTTGTCAATTCTTTTTCAGATGTTAAATTTAAAGTTGGAATTAAAGTTGGAGTTGCAAGCTGAATTAAAGTTTGTGTTTGTTGAGCATTTTGAGGTAAAGATCTTAGCCTGCGTATTTTGTAACTGTAGATAAATTTATTAAGTTATTATTAAAAGTTTGAAAAAATTTTAATTTTGATTTTTCGATGTTGTCTTAATTCAATGGAAAGAGTTCAGTGTTTTTAAAACCAGCTATAGTTTTAGTACGAGTGTAAGCTTTATTGCTTATTTACAACTGTGCAAAGAGACTTTTTTCGGAAAAATTGTTAAAACCACTTTCAGCATAAAATTTTCTTAAAACATTACTCCAAGCATCTTTGATATGGCAAAATACACCTACATCAATAGGCTGCAGAATGTGTGATAATGGGCGAGAATGCAAATAAGTGTAATATTGTTTTCTTTACACTTTAAGGCTACACTTAATGACGCGTGTGTGTCGTGGTCATCCAAAAGTAAAATATTTTGACCACCAATTTTTTTTATCTGAGGAATATACATTTCATCGAGCCACTGCAAAAATTGATTACTTTGCATCCAACCAGATGGTGATGTTGTGTAAACGGTCTTTGATGGGCCTTCTGTAATCCAATCAATGTAAACCAAGGCGGTAGAAGAAATCCGTCAGCATTAAGACAATTAAGAGCAGTGTTGTTTATTTTGTTTGTTATTTCAAGTTAATACTAGTGGACGCTTTGTACCACTTCTGGTAACTACTTTTGCGTTACCTTTGTCACCATTAAAATTAGTTTTCGTACGATTCCACAAATGCATGGCTTTACTAAAACCTAATTTTGCTAAATCGAAATGTTTTTTCAAATCATCAAAATAACAGGCAATAATTTCTGGTGTGCATGACCCTGCTCTCAAAGATGCGATGTTTGTAGCTGTTCTTTCGCTTAATTCTGAGTGCCATTGACTCATAACTCCTTTGTACCATTTGCCACCAGGCGTTACATTTTTGAACAAACACGTGTAAAACATTTTTCAAAAAACAAAGGGTTGCACCCTACATCACCAAATTTGCTGAAACTTGGCACAAATGTGTAAAGATGTAAGTCAGGAAAGACTGTTAATTTTTTTCGAAATTTTTTATTCCTTAAAGAATTACTGCAATTTAAAGTTTATTAGATTTTGACTTAAAAATTGAGGGTAGGGAATGTGCCGGAAATGTGTCTGTTTACTATTACCCTTATAAGGTGCTGGTAGTAAATTTGCAAAGCTAAGTTTTTCTACCAAATTATTTTGAATCCTGTTTAATCTGAAAATTTTAGATTTTTATCTCTCAAAACAATAAAAAAGAGTTTATTTTAAGATCTAAAAAATGCATTAACTAATGACAATAATAAAAAGCAATGACAACTACTGCTCTAGAAAAAATCTGACTGTGTTAAAAAATCGGACTGATGGAAAAAATCTGACTGATAAAAAAAGGACTGATAGAAAAAATCTGACTGATAGAAAAAACTATAGGTTTTAATTTTCTTAAAGATTAGACATATAATTACTTTACGAACCAATTTTGTTTCAGCTTTATGTTTTGATGAGGAGTTTTTGATGTTTTGGTTTTTCAATTTTTTTGAAAAAATTAAAAAAAAAATGTGAGCAAATTCATTTATTAAAAAAAAAAGTGAGCAAATTCATATTGATATTTAACTAAATCTAATTTTGAGTCAGTTAATTTAAAAAAAAAAAAACAGAATGTGATTTAAATTTTCACAATACAAAATCTAGTTAAATATTTTGTAAACTTATAAATTCGTTATTTTCATTACAAAACAGTTATGTCATTTACATAGTTATTATCATTACATATTAGGTATGTCATTAAATTAAACAAAACCATGTAATCTTTTTCAATTTACTTATTATATGCACACATCATCGTGATATGTTAATAATGAGAATTGAGAGCATTTAGAAAAGTTGCTACAATCCATTTCTGGCTCATAAAATAGTGTGTGGAGGTAAAAGTTTATATATTTACATTAATATGGGTAATACCATTGTTAATAAATTCCTTATAAGTTTTTTTTGCAATAGAATTTGTTCATTGTTTTACAATAATAGTATAATTAATGATATAGTATTTGAGTAATATAGTTACATTTACTTTTCAGCACCTCCTAGCGCGATTGCAATGCATACTGTATTTGAAGCAGAAACCGTAGGTTTGAACCTTATACCTGGAAATAAGTTGTGTTTAACCTGTCAAAATAAAGTTATGAAACACTTATCAAAAATTATGATTGAAAATTATCATGAAATTTTTTATATTGTTAGTGAAACATTTTTTTAGAATAAAAAAGAAGGTGTTAATACACACTTTACAGCTGCTGGAGTATCTCCTATTATGATCAAAGGATTACATAAGTTAGGTAAAATCAGTGAAAGTAAACAAAAATTGACAGCATTAACAACATTAAAAAAAAGTATTCACTTACCTTAAGTATACCAGAAAAAAGTTTTGAAGAACAATCAAGTTTTGGTAATGAGTATATGGAAAAAGCAAACTTGTTTGATAACATGATGGTATTGTTAACTAATAAAATTGCAGATTCAACAGCAACATCTAAAAAATACAACTGACAACGCATGCCAACTGACTGGTCAATAAAAAAATTTCTGAAACAATATATATAACAACGTAGTATATATTGCATTATAAAAAAGGTATTTTTGCCATGTAAATTAGCATTATAAAAAAGGTATTTTTGCCATGCCTAATTCTAAATTAGGAAAATTTCTTCCTGATGTAGCAGTTTAACTGGGCAAGTCTATTTATGAAGATGATGAATATAGCCATATAATACCTGGTAAAAATATAAGCATAAAGAAAAATTTTTACATGCAAAAATGTTTGCTCTTATGTAATTTAAAGGAACTGTTTGTTGCTTTCAAAACCATAAATCCAGAAATAAAAATTGGGTTTTTTTAAGGTTTTGCTTATTGCGATCAAAATGGTGTATTACTGCTGGTGCTTCAGGAGCACTTTCAATATGCGTCTGTGCTATTCATCAGAATTTAAACTGCTTTTACATCCTCTTGGTGTACCATACAAAGAACTGTTACCTTATATCGTATGTCACATGACTAATATGACAAAGCTGTATAATGTGTAAATGTGAAAGATGTCCAACAACTATAAATTGATTAGTTGAAAAACTTTATAACTTAATTGGAGAATTTGAAGATGACGATGAAGTAGAATTTGATTAGTGACAACAACAAATAGGTCAAACTTAACACATAATAAAGAGCCATTGTCTATATATTGAACTAGTATGTAAAAAATTGAAAAACTTGCACTACACGTATTTAGCTATGAGTCAAGCATCATACCTTAGAACAAGAATGGAATATATGAATAAGCTAATAGTATTATTTTTAGATGATTTTTAAGAAATAAATTTGTAGTTCATGATGAAGTACATGGCTTTGATTAGGCAATGTACACTTTTTATTTCAAAAAATAAGGTTTTCTTAATCACAAATCTTATTGTATTGTTTCAGATGATATGATGCATGATGTGAACATAGTACATAAAATTATTGTTGTCAGCAATGATAATAAAACAAATCTACATCAAATAAAAATATTGAATACTTTACAGATGGGTGTGCAGATCAATATAAGAATTGTATGAGTATTTTGAATTTTTGTTTTCATTTTGGTCTTTCTGCTAAGTTGAACCTTTTTGCAACTAGTCGTGGTAAGCAACCTTGTGATGGGTAGGTGGTGCAGTCAAAGGTTTAGTAGCACTAGCAAGCTTGCAAAGGTATATATGGTAAAAATATGGGTAATCATATTTTATTTCTACAAGCAATGTACAAATATTGCAAAGAAAATATTGGTTTTACATTTCATTTATATATAATCAGAAGATTTAATTTTGGTTAAAAAAACTCTTAAAGAACAATTGGATGCTGCAAATACCATACCTGGAACACGTAGTTACCATCAGTTTGTACCACTTATTCATCAAAAGGTTAATAAATATATATTTAATATACCTTTTATCATCTTTAAAAAATATGCATAATTTTTATTGATAAACTCGAATAGATTATTTACTAGTCGTGAATCATCGTCAAAAGTATTTTTATTTTATTTTGGACTTTTTCTATTAATTCCCTTAATGAAACATGTTTAACATAATAAAGAAAACGGAATAAATACAAATGTTCCTTTTTTTTCTAGATAGACGCAAAACTATACAGCGTTAGTGAAGCTTTTGCTTTCATTCATGACTTTCGAAACATCTCTGTAACAACTGTAAACTTAGTATCAGGTTATTATGCCTGTATTTCCAAGGAGCAAAAGTGGTGGATAAAATAATCTAGTCCAAATGATCCTGCACGGTCGTTTAAAGGGCTAACCAATGGGTAGCAGATGCTGGATTCCATATGTCCACCTCATTTGCAAAGTTGAAGAACCAACTACAAAAACAGGGCTAATTTTGCTGTATAAAATTAATAAAATAATTAACTTACTAAACTGTTATTTTCTAATTTGATTAATTTGTAAAAAGTTGGAATATATTGCCTGATTTTTTGATTGCCTGAGTTGGAATATATTGCCTGATAAAATATTACAATAATACTTCCAATGAACTTAAGGCCAAAAAGTTAGTTCGTAAAGTTGATAAACATCTTTAAGAAAACAAAAAATAATTTATTTTTTTAAAAAAAACTGCCAGATTTTTTGATAACAATAATAATAAATTTTTTGCTGTACACATACAATGTGTGAGTCTAAAATCTGTAGATGTTAAAATTTTGATTTCCGTTGAAAAAGTTTTTTTTTTCCTTTTTAAATGTTATATATATATTTTTTTATTTTATTTGTTTTATATTTTTATTTTGTTTTTTTTTCGAAACGATCAAACTTGTTTTTGAAGATGTTCATATTTTTAGAATTAATTATCTCCTCTGCTAAATTATTCCAGTTGTTAACTATTCTGTATGTAAGGAAATTAAATCTTGTGGTAGAATATGTGAATCATTTTTGTATTTTCTGAGTATGACCTTGTTATTGCATATTTTATAGCTATATTTTTCAATGCCCTTTTTTATTGTCATTATTAGGAACATTTTATGAATCCTAAAATAAACTACATCGCCTTGCTTCGAGAGATACAAAACTAAAGTTTTCGAACTTAGCAGGTTTTAAGATTTTTTTGTACCAAGTTTCAGAATCGCAGCATTACAATAAGCACCATATAAGGGTAGTAATAAACGGAAATATTTTTGTCACTTTTCTCCCCTCATTTTTCAGTCAAAATCAAACAAACTTTAAGTTACTGTAAATCCTATACGGATAAAACTTTACAAAAAAAAATTTACAGTCTTTCCTAAGTAATACCTCTCAACATTTGTGCCAAATTTAAGAAAATTTAGAGATGTAGGTTGCAGATTTGTATTTTTTGTGTTTTTTGAAAAAATTTTACTCAGGTTTCATCATTTTCAATTAAATAGTTTCTCACTAAACTTTAAACTTGATCTTATCGTCTACCGAAGCCCCATCGCTAAGCATCTGAAGAAGGTGAACCGAGGTTAACTCCATAAAAGAGCTCAAAATTTTTGTATTGCCACTACAAAAGTCTTAGTTGATTTTCGGTTGAATAACGTTGATTTTAGTATGCGGTAGAATTGAGCTGCGGCTTTTAAACTTAACTTACCATTTTCAATCTTATTTAATACGTTTTTTATTGTTAAGGCTTCTCGTTTGTTTCATTTTTTGCCGTTTTAAATTGAGTAAATTCATTTCAGTTACAGAATGATAAAGATTTTTAAAATCGAAGAAACAATGCATTTTTGTGTTTACTTTGTTTACTTTTGCACTTTAACACGAAAGTGTGAAAACTTAAAAATCCCAAATGAAAAAAAATTCAGTCAGTGTGAAAAAAAATAATAAAATAAAACCTAAACATAATAAAAAAAATCAATTAGAGTGAAAAAATAATAAAGAGATTAACCTAATAAATTTTAATTGGTTAAAGGGTGGATTTATTGTGTCCGGGTCAAGGTGAAAACTGATGAAAATCTAATTTCCGTCATAACATTTTAACAGAGTAAGATTATGAAAGTCTATAACTTTTTTAAATTTTGCAAATAAAATTATTTTTAGTAGGGGAAAATGGGTAGGAGTGAGCCACTTATTTTTAAATCGATTATATCAAGAAAACCAAAAGTGGAAAAAGTATAGGATAAGGAGCCTAAGGTAGCCTAAAGTATTAGGTTTCTAATAGTAATACAAGAAATATCAAAATATCTTTAGATTTTTAATAACTTGAACAAAAACGCAGGTGTTGCTATTCGTTTACTTCTACCAATGCATGGGTAGGAGTAAACCAAGCAAATGGTAGGAGTGAGCCATTATCTTTGAATACCAGAAAACTAAAACTAGATAACTTCTTTAACAAATTTATTGAAAATTAAGTAAGTAACAAATACTTTATAATTAAGCATAACATAATTAAGTAATAATATAACTTATAAAACAATAAATTTAACACAATTTTAAACCTATTTAATAAATTAAGAAAACTACCAAAAAATAATTTGTTTTTATTCAGTAACAGCTGATTTTGACAACAAAACAAAGAACTGACATGACAAATGATAATTTCTAAATATTAGGATATAATAAAAGTATATATATATATATACATTTATAAATATATATAAATATATATATATATATATATATATATATATATATATATATATATATATAAATATATATATATATATATATATATATATATATATATATATATATATATATATACATATATATATATATATATATATATATATATATATATATATATATATATATATATATATATATATATATATACATATATATATATATATATATATATATATATATATATATATATATATATATATATATATATATATATATATATATATATATATACTTTCATTGCATATATGTAATGATATTAAAAGTGTATATATATATATATATATATATATATATATATATATATATATATATATATATATATATATATATATATATATACATATATATATATATATATACATATATATATATATATATATATACATATATATATATATATATATATATATATATATATATATATATATATATATATATATATATATATATATATATATATATATACTTTCATTGCATATATGTAATGATATTAAAAGTATATATATATATATATATATATATATATATATATATATATATATATATTATATATATATATATATATATTATATATATATATATATATATATATACATATATTTATATTATATATATATATATATATATATATATGTATATATATATATATATATATATATAATATATATATATATATATATATATATATATATATATATATATATATATATATAAATATATATATATATATATATATATATATATATATATATATATATATATATATATATATATATATATATATATGTATATACATATATATATATACTTTTAATATTATTACATATGTGTAATGAAAGTAGTATATTAGCATATTGTATATTGGCAATAAAAAAAATATTTAGCAAATACTGATATAGTCAAACACAACCTCAAATTTGTAATGGCAATGCTGCCTTTTATTTGTTCTAGAAAAAGTTGGCCGAGGTAGCAACAATTTAATATTCATTCTAGGTATAGTCACAATATCTGGTGAATTAGGCATCTTAAAAATATCACCTTTTTTCCGAAGAAAACTGATTGTAACTTCTTCTTTTATAGAGTTTATACATAATACCTTTCCAACATAAACAATTTTTTTTGGTTGTTTCAAATTTAACCAATACAAAGTCATCTTCTTTCGGATATATATCACAAGTACACAAATCATCTTCTAGGATTATTAAACCTTTTTCATTTGTGGTTGTCAAATGTTCCAATACAGAATCGTCTTTTTTAAGTAATTTTTTGTTAATCTTCTGTAAATTTGCTTTTAATTCTTTTGTAAGTTTGACTAACTTTTTATTGCAGAGCCTTTTCTCAATCCGATCTCTCTCAGGAGTGTCTGTGGCAATGATAGAGCAACCCTTCTTTCTTTCCCTTCTTTTACAGTTTTTTTTTCCAGATTTCGGAAAACCTCTGAATTGTTTAGGGCTGATAAAGAAATCTGATGATGTAGACAGATCAACCACGGTATCATTGGTAACTAGTTTGTTTGTATCTATAGTAGTAGAGGTAGTGGGGTCTGCATTTGGTGAAACATGTGGGTGAAAAAAATTATCAGAATTAATGCTTACGTGATTTTTTATGCAAGTATTGTTAACATAAAAAGTTTTATCTGTCACATAACTGCACATAAAATCAATATCTGTAAACACGTTCCTGTCATAAGGAAATAT